ATTTTTTAAAACATCTTTCAAATCAATAAAGAATATCTCACTTTATAAAAGAGCCTAAGACATGAATAGGTAGCTCACAACCTGACTAAACAAAAGAATAAATCTATAACTTCCCTGAAAATCAGAAAAATACAAATTATTGTGATTCCACTTTAAATAAACAAAGTTTTTTTTTTGTTTTTTTTTTTTAAGACGGGGTTTCACCATGTTGGCCAGGCTGGTCTTGAACTTCCGACCTCAGGTGATCCGCCCGCCTTGGCCTCCAAAGTGCTTGGATTACAGGCGTGAGCCACCGCGCCCGGCCTAAACGAAGCTTTAAATAACTTAAAAATCCATTCTCGTTGGTATAGGAAAACAATATTCAGATACAATGTGGGTAAGTGTATAAAATGATTTCAATAAGTCAATGTGAATAAAAATCTTTTGAAACCCCAACCCTGGACTAAGTATTTCTCTTATAGGAATGTATTCAAAGGATACCCATTTTCTATAGCTGCCCTAGCAAATTACCACAAACTTGGTGACTTCAAACAACAGAAGTTTATTCTCTCACAGTTCTGGAGGCCAGAAAGCCAGAATCAAGGTGTCAGCAGGGCCAAGTTCCCTCCGGCTCTAGAGGAGATTCTGCTCCTCCCTCCTCCAGCTTCTGGTAGTTGCCAGCAGGCTTGAGGCTGCGTCGCTCCAGTCTCTGCCTCCATCTTTGCAGCACCTTTTCTTCTTCCTGATCTACCTCTTCTCCCTCCATCCCTTTCTGATAAGCCTACTATCACGGAATTTACAGCCCATCTCAATGTTCCAGGACTTAACCACATCTGCAAAGACCCTTTTTCCAAACAAGTTAATATTCACAAGCTCTAGGGATTTGGCACAGATATCTCTTGAGGGTGGGATTTTTTTCAGCCTACCACAGGAGGTAATCAGTGCAATCATTGACTAAAGATGTCATTGCAACATTATGTATAATTTTAAAAATTGAAAAACTTTTAAGGGAGGCCAGGAGCGGTGGCTTAAGCCTGTAATCCCAGCACTTTGGGAGGCCGAGGCGGGTGGATCACGAGGTCGAGAGATCGAGACCATCCTGGTCAACATGGTGAAACCCCATCTCTACTAAAAATACAAAAAATTAGCTGGGTATGGTGGTGCGTGCCTGTAGTCCCAGCTACTCAGGAGGCTGAGGCAGGAGAATTGCCTGAACCCAGGAGGTGGAGGTTGCGGTGAGCCGAGATCGCGCCATTGCACTCCAGCCTGGGTAACAAGAGCAAAACTCCATCTCAAAAAAAAAAAAAAAGGAAAAGAAAAACTAAGGGAATAATCTAAAAGTTCAATAGAAGGGTATTAGTTAAACACAAATAATGGCACATCCATCTAATGAATTAATATATAATCATGAAAAATAATGTGGATGCACATTGTTCCAGTTATATATTATTGCATTTTAGAATCACCCCAAATCTAGTGGCATACAGTACTAACTATTTCAGGCAAGATCGATGCTGAAATTAGTAGGTGAAAGTTGGAGAAGAAACACGCTATTTGCATAATCTTAAAGTATCTCTCCCAAGATAAATATTAATTGTAAAAGAAAAAAATAGTAATTTTACAGTGAAGAAAACCAACAGACACCACCTTAACAAAGTGATCAAGATGAAACATTACCAGTAATAATATATAACAGCATTAGGTACACCAAGTGTGACTGAGAAGGGCGCATAACTTCCAGAGCATGCTTGCCAAAATTCATAACCTTCATCTAATCATGAGAAGACATCACACAAACCAAAATGGAAGGATATTTTACAAAATAGCTGACCAATACTCTCCAAAAGGGTCAACATCATGACAGACAAGGAAGGACTGAGGAACTAGCATAGAGTGGAGGAGATTAAGGAGACATGACAACTAAATGTAATATGGGATCTTGGATTGGATACTAGTAAATAAAAAGAACATTAGTGGGAAAACGTAAATTTTTAACAAAGTCTGTACTTCAATGAATGGTATTATACCAATGTTGATGTCTGAGTTCTGATCACTATGGATATGTAAGATTAGGAGATGCTTGGGGGGAAGGGCATAAGGAAATCTGTACTACTTATGTGCATTTTCTGTAAATTTAACATTATTTCAAAATAAAAAGTAAAAAATAAAACTTAATGGCATACAACAAATGCACAGAAAATGTTCAACCTCACTAATGATTCAGGAAATATAAATTAACCATAATGAAATATCATTTCGTCTCACACCTGTCAGAATGGCTATCATCAAAAACACGAAAGAGAAAGTGCTGGTGAGGATGTGGATTAAAGGAAACCCCTGCATTCTGTTGGTGGGAATGTGAATTAGTACAGCCATTATGGAAAAGTGTATGGAGGATCCTCAAAAAACTAAAAAGAGAATTACCATATGATCCAGAAATCCCACTTCTGGGCATTTACCCAAAAGCTTTGAAATCAGTTTGTCAAAGAGATGTCTGCTCTCCCATGCTCACTGCAGCACTACTCACAATAGCCAAGTTACAGAATAACCTAAGCATCCACCAACAGATGAACGGATAAAGAAAATGCAGTGTATATACACCATGGAATACTTTTCAGTCTTTAAAAAGAAGGAAATTCTATCATTTGCAACAAGGTGAATGGAAACAGAGGACATTATGCCAAGCAAAATAAACCAGACGCAAAAAGACAAATACTGCATGTTCCCATTTGTATGTGGAATCCAAAACAATTGTACTCATAGAAGCAGAGTAGAATGGTGGTTACCAGAGGCTGGAGCATGGGAAATGGGAAAATAATGGCCAAAGAGTACAAAGTCTCAGTTAGACAGGAGAAATAAGGGTTTTTCTTTGAGATCTACTGCATGGTGTAGTGAATATCATCAATAATGATGTATTGTGTATTTCAAAATTGCAAAGAGACTAGATTTCAAATGGTCTAAACATAAAAGATGTTAAGTGTTTGAGGTGATGGATAGGCTAATTAGCTTGATTTAATTATTCTATATTGCATTCATAAATCGTAATATCACTTTGTACCCCATAAACAGTCAATTTACAATAAAAATATTTTTAAGTTAGTGGCATAAAACAGTGAACATTTTATTACGCTCATGCTTCTGTGGGCCAGGAATTTGAGGGACACTGCAGGAACAATTTATCTCTGCTCCACCATGAATGGGGTCTCAGATGGCTGGGTAGCTCCCTTTGGCTGGAGGTGCCTGGAGTAGGTCAGGGGTCCATATGTCTAGCCCTGGTTATTCTCTGCATTGTTTGGTGGAGCTGAAATGTCCAAGCTTGCTGCTTTATTCTGTGTCTGCACTGAAACTGTTGAATAGTCAGTGTATCGGTTTCCTAGGGCTGCTATAACAATTTACCACAAGCTGGGAGGCTGAAAACAACTGAAATTTATTCTCTACAGTTCTAGAAGCTACATATCTGAAATCAAGGTGTCCTTTGTCTTCCTAGCTTCTTCTGGCTTCCAGCAATCCTTTCATTCCTTGGCTTATACTTACATCCCTCTGTCTTCACACCGCCTTCTTCCTGTGTCTCTATGTCTCTGTGTCCTCTCCTCTTTTTTCAAGGCCCGCCCTATACCAATAAGACTTTATCTTACCTAAATCTCTGCAAAGACCCTATTTCCAAATAAAGACTCATTCTGAGGTTCCAAGTGGACATGAATTTGAGAGAGACATCACCAACATCACTGTAGCCGGGAGCTAGCCAGCATCATCTTCTCTCTGCATAGCCCCTCCATATTGCTTGCCTGGGCTTTCTCACAGCAGGGCAGCCTCGGGTGGCCTGACCTTCTTACACAATGGCTGGCGTTCCTCTAAGGGAGCATTTTAACAGAAAGCAGAAACTGCCTGTTTTCTTAAAGACAAGGCCCAGAAATGGCATAGTATCACTTCTGCTGTAATGTATCAATCCAAGTTGTTTCAGGCTAGCCAAGACTGAAATGGGAGTGAGAAATGGACTCCATCTCTAAGTGAGGAAGAGAATGGACACACATAAAAGGCAGGAGCTAATGGCAGCCATTCAGAAACAAACTACCACACACATCTATTATTGACAGTGAAAGGGGCTCATGAAATACAAATTAGTGGGGAAAAGGTTACAAAATACCATACACATATATAATTTGATCATATTTTTATTCTCAAAATATATACATGGATATTTGTTTTAAACACATTTCAAAAGGTAAAGAGTAAACTAAAAGATTAATAGTGGTTATCTCTACAAGTTGAGAATGTAGCTGACAGTAATTTTTTTGATTTAACCAATATTTTCTAACATACAGTAGACATGTGTTACTTCTGTAAAACACAAGATGCAAAAAGCAAATGATCTATGAATTTAATATAGGCCAGACTAATTTTTGATGTTTCAACTAGGATATACAAAAATACAAAATGTTTCTAATCCCTACAATTTTCATCATTATGTAAGTGGCTTAAAGGTTACATAACTCCATAAAATGTCTGTATTTAAAAAAGAAGATTCACAAATACACATACAAACAAAGGAGAAAGGTAGAAATAAATGTGTGGCATTGGCTCATGTCAAAAAATAAAACTGTGAGAGACCAGGAAATAGGACAAATCCATCATGGATTTTAACTAAAGGAGTTCCGCAGGTCAGAGTGACACCCTGTGAGAGGATAGTGAGCAGTTAAGGAATTGTACCCAGAAAGTGGAGTCTAGAGACACCTAAAAGAGACAGGAAGTAAAGGCAATGACATACTTTTGTCAATTTCCCAGTTTGTCCCAGCCCTATCCCCCTCCCCATCAAGCAGACACAAACACTTAAAGACATTGAAATATACGTAAACTCGGAGTCGTTTCATATAATCCTACCTAATGTGATCAATTATTTCCCTAAAGAACAGTCAAACTCACAAAGAATAGGACAGAAAAAAATGAATTTGGAATTTTACTTTAATCTAAATATTCTATGACTCAGATAAAAACAAAGTTGAATGACATCTCTTTCTACTCACCAACGGTTTCTTCAGACGCAGCAGTCAAAGATAAAAATGTTTTTGTATTTTCCAGCTCCTCTTTACTTTGCCAAGCTTCACTATATTTTGCAGACTAATGAAAGAAAAACTAAAATTTAAACATGGGAAAAGAAGGCAGCTATAATCATTGATTTTTTAAATTCCAACACGGTTCCCAATCTCATACATACAAATAAGAAATCTCAGGCTATTTTATTTTATTTTTTTTTTTTAGGAAATCTGTAAATGTTCCCTGTTCTCACAAAATTCCGTCAATGAGTATTCCCAGATAGAAGTGGAGTATATGTCCATCATTATATGATAATTACCTTGCTTAAAGTATTGTAAGTTTCTGCTTGATATATATTTTTTTAAGATAATAGAAACGAGGTTTCACCATGTTGATCAGGCTGGTCTTGAACTCCTGACCTCGTTATCCACCCGCCTCGGCCTCCCAAAGTGCTGCGGTTACAGGCATGAGCCACCGCGCCCGGCCCTGCTTGATATTTTTATAATTAATGAGTAACCTAAAGATAAATCATCAAATTTTAAAATTTCAGATATTTCAAGATTGTTAGTATATTTTATTACATTTCCATTTATAATTATTGCTTCAAAGGAAATAAAAACTTGCTTTAAGATTCAATAGGAAAAAGCAATAGGCTAACTTTTTCTGCTAAAATTTCCAGAAACGATTATTCTAGTTTAAAGCATTGCATTTTGGATGTTTCTTTCTTTCCATCCCAATGGTCTTCCTGGGAACCTTATAAAAATGCATTTTTAATTACCACATTTTTATTTTATATTATTGCCTAGGCAATTTTCCCAGAAGTCAGGCAACTTTTTAAGGGGGGCTTTATCAAAAATGACCAATCTCTTATTGCAAGGTTCCTTACCTGAAAGGTACCCTCCTTTGAGGGTCAAAATTCAAACATGGGCCAACGGCTATACCCCAAGTCAATGTCAACATCTAGTCAACTTCAAGCCCTCAATATTCTAGAGAATAAGAGGTCCAAGAAGGCCAAGGAAAGTTAATTGAGTACCAGGAATTTGTTGAGACAGATGCAAATCAGGTACAGTCCCAGACCTCAAGCACTTTACAGATTCCCAAAGACCCTGATCAGCACATGAAACACTCAACTCCTCAAAACTTGTTTGTCACAAAGGTTTACCCAAATAATAAAGCTAACCAGAGAGTTGAACTTTGTCTATTTATCTTCAAACTATAAGGCTGCTGAAGAAAAAGCAGACATACACATACTTAATGAAAGCAGCTATTACACCTCTTCCTGTTCCAGAGATGGAGGAGCCCAGTACTTTACCAGCCTGGTGCTGGTAAGAGAGGTACCCTCGGTCTGTCCCTGGGGAAAGGAACACGCCATTGCAGTGCTTGAAATGTAGATGCTGCAGACCAAGTTTTCTTCTCAGGTTCCGGAAAAATATCACCCCTGCAACTCCTTCACATACACACATATACATACCAATGCCACTACCTCCAGAAAATAAAGCAATAAAGGCAGGCCACAGTAACACTACCATGATCCATAATATTCTTACCCATCTTAGAAGAAATTCTTTTTCTTATTTTTTGAGGGTCTCACTCTGTCAGCCAGGCTAGAGTGCAGTGACGTGATCATAGCTCATGGCGCAACCTTGAACTCCTGGGCTCAAGGGATCCACCGACCTCCCAAGTAGCTAGGGTGACAAGCATGCACTACCATGCCTGGCTAATTTTCTAAATTTTTTTGTACAGATGGGATCTCTTTATGTTGCCCAGGCTGGTCTCAAAGTCCTGGTCTCAAGCGATCCTTCTGCCTCGATCTCCCTAAGTGCTGGGATTACAGAGGTGAGCTACCATGCCCAGCCAGGAGAAACAGTTTCTTACATGTCAGCATATGGTTAGACAGTTCTTACCTTGAGTTCTTCCCACAGCTTTATTCTCATTTCTAGACCTTGCTTCTTAATTTCTTTTTCTCTGTGTTGTCTCTTTGCCAATATTTTATCAAGTCTCTTCATTTTCTGAATGGCATCTTGAAGTTGAGAATCTAATTCTTTTAATTTGGGTTCATCTATATTGTGTTGAAAGTAAAAATAGGTTTGAAGTACAGTAAAACTATAAAGTTTTGTTTTGTTCTTACAATTTGTTCTTTTATTCAACAAATATGTAGAGCTGATAGTAATAACTACTATATTGCTGCCATGTATCTCAATTTACAAGGTGCTTTCACATGTTCTTATATAATTAAGAACCCTATGAACTAGACCTTTATCTCTACTTTACAGGTCAGACAACTGGGTCCTTTCAAATAGGAAATAAATTATAGCATTGGACTCAGAAGTGATTCCTATGATTTTAAAACGCAAATTCTTTCTCCTTTGTTCTATTATACTTTCTATATTAATGACCAAGAAATAGGAAATAAGGAGTAAGACAGGAATCCTGTCCTAAGGCTGCTTCAGACTAACTGAAAGAGAAGGCGTGTACACGAACGGCTACAGTAAAAGGCAGTATGTCTTCAGTGACACAAAGTGGTTGCAACATACAGAAGAAACAAACTCAAACAAGTACTCCATGTAGCTAGACATCCTTTTTCTATACTGCTTCCTTTGTTCTAATTTCTTTAAGTACTTAAAAAGGCCTTGAATTGTAGATAATTGATAGTAACTTATTTAAAATTAAGGACTCTTTAAAACTTCTGTCGTTATCTTATAATTAATGATAATAACTAACATTTATAGAGTTACCTGACAGGCACAGTTTTAAGGGCTTTATTTAAATGCATTATATCATCTAATGCTCATATTAACCCATTAACCCTCTAAGGTGGTATAATCAATTTTACAAATTGGTAAACTGAAGCTAATTTGTAACTGAGTTACACATATGTCCCAGGTGATATAACTGGTTAATGGCAGTCAGGTTCCACCCAAATCTGTTTGACTGCAGAGCCAAAGCTCTCAGCCTCTTAGCCACAGATGATAATCTCTGTTTAAATCTGATGAAAACCGACGATCCAGCAATGAGCAGGAATGCTACAGCTTATAAGCCTCAGCCACCCCAGGTTAGATCATTAGAAGTGGCATATTGTGCTAAGTAAGGCCAAATTTAGAAACTTTTGAAAACCCAAAGAGTTCAGTGATGTTCACCACTCAATGCACATAACTTCTTTTTTTTTTTTTTTAAGAGACAGGATCTCATTCTGTCACTTAGCCTGAAAGGTAGTGGCGTGATCAGAGCTCACTGTAACCTCAAACTCCTGGGTTCAAGCAATCCTTCTGCATCAGCCCCAGAATAGCCAGGGCCAGGACTACAGGTACATGCCACCATACCTGGCTAATTTAAAAAAAAAAAAAAAAAAAAAAAAAAATTGTAGAGATGGAGTCTCACTATGCTTCCCAGGCTGGTTTTAAAGTCTTGGGCTCAGGTGATACTCGTGCCTGGGCCTTCCAAATGCTGGGATTACAGGTATGAGCCACCACTCCCAGCTCCATCATTTCCTCTTAAAGGAAAAACAGAAAGAGGGCATCAACTTATCCAAAAAGAATACTGATATTATTAATAAGGAGGTTCCTTGAATTTTATTGTGTATGTACTTCAAATGCAACACCTTCTAGTTATCATTCCCAACTGCCAATCCTAGCATTCTCAGGCTCTGTGAACAGAGGTAGTCTATATAGGAGGCATTTTGAAGTAACTCATACAGTACTAAAACAGTATAAAGAAATGCAATATAAATTGTGTCAATAGCTAATCTCATTTATAATATATTTGATACAGGAAGGGGACAGGGAAATGCTGGGTAGAGAAACGTAGTGTCCCTGGTGAGGGTTCTACCCTTGGGCCTGTGCCCACAGACCTAAATGAGAACAGGCACTCCTATTTTCATGCCTAAATGTTGCATTCTCCAAGACCACTCTGGTGCACCATTCCCTCATCCTGTGCCCATAAAAACCGGAGACCTTAAGCATACATGACACAAGTGGCTGGATGTTGAGAGGAGCAAAGGCACACGCCAGCAGACACCGGCAAACCAGTGAAGGCTGAACGATGCAGATCCCAAGGGAAGTTCGGCCAGAGGCAGTCGGAGGAGATTTCAGTCACTGGGCAGCCTGACTCCAGGGGAAGACCACCTTTGCACTCCATCCCCCTTCCAGCTCCCCATCCATTTTGCTGAGAGCTACCTCCACCACTCAATAAAACCTTGCACTCATCCCTCAAGCCACAACACGTGATTTGATTTTTCCAGTAGACCAGGGTAAGAACCTAGGATACAGAAAGCCCTCTGCCCTTGCGATAAGGCAGAGGGTCTAACTGAGCTGATTAACAAAAGCTGCCGGCAGACGCAAAACTGAAAGAGTTCACAGTAACACAGGCCCACCTGGGCTTGGGGAGTTGTAAACATTTACCCCTAGATGTGCCGTGGGGTCGGAGCCCAAAAGCAATCCCCGTGGCCTAGCAGAGGGGCAATGAAGAAGTGAGCCACACCTCTGTCTCGCGTCCTGCAAAGGGGATAAGGGAACTCTCCCATTTCGCCTTGTTTCCTGATAACCATAATCCTGAGTCACTTGACCTAACAGTGAGAGCTGATCTCATACCAAACATACTCTAAATCACAGCCCTCAAACTTTTTCTCAGCTCACCTTTACAGCCTTAAAAATTATTAAGAACCCATAGTAATTTTTCTTATGTGGGTTATAGGTATTGATAATGAACGTGTTAGAAATCAACACTGAAAAGTATTGTAAATATCCTTAATTCACTTTCAAAAAATAAAAAACATGCTGTTACTAATTATGTTAACATAAATATCACATTTTATGACAAATAACTATATTCTCAAAAAAACTTGTGAAAGAGTGGTATTGTTCAAATTTGTAATACTGGATGAAAACAGCTGGATTCTCATATCTACTTCTACAGTCATTCTATTGCAGTCTGTTGTTTTGGTTGAAGTATATGCAGAAAATTGGCCTCACACAGATATGTGGTTAGAATAGGAAGAAGAAACTTAATAGCCTATTCAGATAATTGGACAGTCTTCTTTGATACTAAACCAAAACTTAACAGGGATAGTTTCTTACAGGCTAAGTGAAATCTGCAATCAAATCAGTGAGCTTTATGTATTTGCTCCGTTAGAATCCATGGGTCTGTATTTCATGTTGAATGGATCTTTTATCCTACACTGATCATTTGGAAAACAGTGGTTACCTAAATTATGCAGAACTTCAAAATGTTAAGACATTTCATTACACAATGGCATTAGTTAATACTGCCACCGATTTTCCTAAGAAAAGTCTAAGTATTGGGAAGGTATCAAGGTCACAGTGACATATGCAGTTTTCCAAAACCGTAATTTTCACTTGAAAGCTCAAATTTTACCATTGGAAACAAATGTTTATTTTCTTTAAAAAAAGTCTACCAAATACCCATCTGAATAATTCGGTTTTTTTGTCAGTCATTCTTTCAAGTAAATATGGTGTTCCACTAAAAAAGTGGCCAGTTCAGCTCTCAACTCCAACTATCACAAAAGTACTTTTCTTCAATGCAAACTTTGGTATACAGCAGAATTGCTTTATGTATGCTTCCCATTTTGCCCCACAGGGTGCTCAGAAGATGCATATTTAAGGATCAAATTTTAATTAAATTGTTCTTTTTTTATTGGTTCATAGCCAGTGACACTGGCTATTTCTTTTTTTGGCCAGTGCCTGGTTGCAAAGAATACAAGGACTACTAGTACATTTTGGTGCCACTGTCCTGATTCATGCCAAGGCACCAACAATTTTGCCCACCATTACTTTCATACCACCAGGCAAATGTCAGTATGGTGGACACAAGAGCAAATAGCACCTCCGTGTTACTATGAAAACAGCTTTTACTTTGCAGGGTCCCTGCAAGGGTCTCAGGGATACCATTTCCCACCATACCCCCAGGGTTCTGCAGACCACTTTTTGAGAAATACTATTCTAACGCAATCTGACTACAGTTAATTTGCCAACATTAAAAAATGGCATCTTTTTTAAAATCCAAATGTTACTGGGTGGGACTATCCCTACAAATTATAGGATATATTTTATTGTACAATTTTAGTCATCAAAAAAAATAATAAATCATGCTATAAAATGCAGAACTAATCCCTACTTGATTAATGTATATCCACTACTATTTTATTAAATGATATATTTTATATTTCTAATATATTATATTTAAGGCCTCTTAATAGTCTTATAAATAAAAAGTAGTGATGGCCTGCTCACAAATAGTATATGACTTTTTTGGTTTATTATTTCTACTTAGCTGGTAAAAACACAGGTAATGCTAACACCTTAGACATAACATTTGTAATTATCGTGAGCCAATCACCTAGTGATTATCCTACCTGAACACTCAAGGATTATCTGATGTTGAACCAAATCCAGATCTTCGTCTGATCCCTCTTCAGCCAATTTTATTTTCTCAGAATGGTTTTCCACCTTATCGTCATCACTAGTTCTTCTGTTCTCTGTACTACTGCTTTCGGAGTGGTTCTCTTTACCACAGTTCAAGCTGCTTACAGTATCAACCTAAAAATAATTTCCAAAAAAAGGTTTCCAAAAATTCCATACTTTTTTAAACGTTACGTTTCTAGAATATTTTGACAGTAATGGAAAGCAGATGGAGAACATACGTAAATATATACACTAGCACTAAAGTATTCTAGAAATATACCACTCAGGAGACTGAGGCAGGAGAATTGCCTGAACCCAGGAGGCGGAGGTCGCGGTGAGCCGAGATCGTGCCATTGCACTCCAGCCTGGGTAACAAGAGCGAAACTCCGTCTCAAAAAAAAAAAAAAGAAAAAGAAAAAGAAAAAAGAAATATACCACTCTAATTAAATGTAATTTAACTGCACAATTCCATGTAGTAACATTTGCACCGTTCTCCAGCAGCCCCCAGCAATAATGGGGAAGAGTCTACATCAGTCCTGAAGGGGCCTGCTATCTGCCAGGCTCTGGGATAAGGCAAGACGGGCCCTGCTCCTTGAGCTTACACTGGGATGGACAGTAAAAGGTCTAAGGCTGTGCTGTCCAATATGACAGCCACTTGCCACATGTGGCTACAGAGTGGTTGAAAAGTGGCTAGTCTGAGTTGAGATGTGCTTTCTAGTGAGAGTCTGCTATTCAGAATCCTGTGCTTTGGTCATTTATTTATTTTTATGTTATTCACAGTTTTTCTATTTCATTTTAGTTTCCCTTTACATTTTAGCAAAGTTGATTTTGAAAACACCAGTTGACACAGCTGTGTTTTCCTAAGAGAGAATAAAAAAGGACCTCCATAGCCAGGTTAGGGAAAAACAGATCACAGGCCCCGTGGTTTATAAACTGTCATGAGAATCACTTCAGAAGTTAACACAGCCCAAGGGAGAGAGGCAAGACCTCAGAGAGTCAGCCCCTTCTCAGAGGAGTACCTTTCCCCTCCCAACAGAAAGACCATCGCCTCCAGCCCATCTGCTGTTAGCCCACTGTAGGTTTTGTGTTCTCTCTGCACCACGTGCTCAAGTCTCCACCACGTGCTCAACTCTCTACCACAATCTGCAGTCCCCTAGTGAATCCCCAGGGTGGAAGACCGGCAGTGAATGAAACTGCCGGGAATGCAGGTCTGCATGAGCATCTCCCTGCCTGAGGCAGGACATACACCCAGCGGAACTGAGCTGACTCAGTGATAATAATCATAGCCACCATTTACTGAAGAATTACTGTCAGTCATGGCCTGCCTCATTCACTCCTCACAATGCTCCTATGGTGTAAGTTTCACTACTATGAATTAAGAGTAGAAAACAGACCCAGCAGAGAATGAAAGCAGTGAAAGCCCAATTTATAAATAAGCAAAACAGTGTTGTAATCTGGGAGGTGGTTAAACAGGGTTCCCTATTCAAAAACATATTTCTGCCAAAGGCCAGAAAAGGCCTGGAATTCACTCCGGCATTCTAAACAGCACGGTACTAGTACCAAAACAGACATGCAGACCACCAGAACAGAACAGAGGACTCAGAAATAACACCACATGTCTACAACCATCTGATCTTTGACAGACCTGACAAAAACAAGCAATGGGGAAAGTATTCCCTATTTAACAAATGGTGTTGGGAAAACTGGCTAGCCATATGCAGAAAGCTGAAACTGGACCCCTTCCTTATACCTTATACAAAAATTAACTCAAGATTGACTAAAGATTTAAACATAAGACCTAACACCATAAAAACCCTAGAAGAAAACCTAGGCAAAACCATTCAGGACATAGGCATAGGCAAGGACTTCATGACTAAAACACCAAAAGCACTGGCAACAGAAGCCAAAATAGACAAATGTGATCTAATTAAACTAAGGAGCTTCTGCACGGCAAAAGAAACTATCACTAGCTGGGCGCAGTGGCTCACCTCACGCCTGTAATCCCAGCACTTTGGGAGGCTGAGGTGGGTGGATCACGAGGTCAACAGATCGAGACCATCCTGGTCAACATGGTGAAACCCCGTATCTACTAAAAATACAAAAAATCAGCTGGGCATGGTGGTGCTTGCCTGTAATCCCAGCTACTCAGGAGGCTGAGGCAGGAGAATTGCCTGAACCCAGGAGGCAGAGGTTGCGGTGAGCCGAGATCGCGCCATTGCACTCCAGCCTGGGTAACAAGAGCGAAACTCTATCTCAAAAAAAAAAAAAAAGAAAGAAAGAAACTATCACTAGCATGAACCAGTAATGAAGATAATGGGAAAAACTTTTTGCAATCTACCCATCTGACAAAGGGCTAATATCCAGAATCTACAAAGAACTTAAATTTATAAGAAAAAAGCAACCAACCAGATCAAAAAAGTGGGCAAAGGATATGAACAGACACCTCTCAAAAGAAGACATTTATGTGGCCAACAAACATATCATTATCACTGGTCATTAGAGAAATGCAAATCAAAACCACATTGGGACACCATCTCACACCAATTAGAATGGCAATCACTAAAACATCAGGAGACGCTGGAGAGGATGTGGAGAAATAGGAATGTTTTTACACTGTTGGTGGGAGTATAAATTAGTTCAACCATTGTGGAAGACAGTGTGGTGATTCCTTCAGGATCCAGAAATAGAAATTCCATTTGACCCAGCAATTCCATTACTGGGTATATAACCCAAAGGATTATAAATCATTCTGTTATAAAGACACATGCACACATTATGTTTACTGTGTCACTGTTCACAATAACAAAGACTTGGAACCAACCCAAATGCCCATAAATGATAGACTGGATAAAGAAAATGTGGCACATATACAACATGGAATATTAGGCAGCCATGAAAAAGGATGAGTTCATGTTCTTTGCAGAGACATGGATAAAGCTGGAAACCATTCTCAGCAAACTGACACAAGAACAGAAAACCAAACACTGCATGTTCTCACTCTTAAGTGTGTGTTGAGCAATGAGAATACATGGACACAGGGAAGGGAACATCATACACTGGAGTCTGTCAGGGGCTGGGGGACTAGGGGAAGAATAGCAAGGGGTGGGGGGGAGGATATGGGAGGGATAGCATTAGCAGAAATACCTAATGTAGATGACAGGGTGATGGATGCAGGAAACCACCGTGGCACATGTATACCTATGTAACAAACCTGCACATTCTGCACATGTACCTCAGAACTTAAAGTGTTTAAAAAAAAAAAAAAAAAAACCCTGGAATTCCACAATATCCAGTTAATCCTTAAGGCCTTCTGTTGGGTGAAAAAGCTAACATTTCTGGGAGAAATCACGTAACTTCTGTCCGTCATTTAAGAACTTCCTTTGAGGCTGAGTTTCACATGGGGGAATAAATAATATACAAAAGATAACTAGATTGATAGCACACTTCAGGGTATCCCCAGACCTTTCACACCCATCATCTCATATGATCCTAACTCAGAAAGAGCACAAGGTAATGAGGCACAAAGGTAAAACTGGAGAACTAGGCAAATTTCACAAATTTTCCCATAGTTTCCCACCCCACTAGCTACCAACTATCTTCCCCATTCCATTGCCCACTGGCCTTGCTGCTCCTAATCCCTTGCTCTTCTGCCCTGTGGCCTATGTGTATGATTTTTCTATTTTCCTCATTCTTAACACCACATCTCACCTCCATATATATATGTCGCCTTGGCGACAAGGTGAGACCCTGTTAATTATACATATATATATACTATATATGTATATATATATGTATAATTAACAGGGTCTCACCTTGTCGCCAAGGCTGGAGTGCAGTGGCATGATCACAGCTCACTGTAGCTTCAATCTCCTGGGCTAAAGCAGTCTTCCCACCTCAGCCTCCCTGACTAGCTGGGACCACAGGGGTGCATCACCACACCCAGCAACTTCTTGGGTCCAGTATTTACTTTTACGAGCGTACAGCACACCTGCAGTGGTCCCATCGCTTCTTCTCTAAGAGATTGGAGACCAAGAAACCACATCATTCTCTCAGGGGAGCTATGCCTCACCAGCACCCAAGAAAAAAACCCAGTTGCAATTCCATTTATACAACCTTCTGGAAAAGGAACAGAGAATAGATCACTAATTGTAAGGGATTAAGAGTGACATGGGATTGTTCGCAAAGGAATAGAATGAAAAATGTTTTGAGGGATGATGGAACTGTTCTATATCTTGATGGTAATGGTAGTTATATCACTCAATCTATTTGCCAAAACTCACAGAACTATACACTAAAAAGTGAATTTTACTGTATGTGAATTTTTTAACTAAAAACTAAAAGTGAATAGATCAGTTGAGACACAATATTAATACACAGGAAGATTTAATATCACAAAGTTAAAAATTCTCCCTAAATTAATCTGTAAAAAGCAATTTCAATCAAAACCCCAACCAGATTTTTCAGAACTTAAAAAACTGACCTAAAGTACACTTAGGCCAGTTGCAGTGGCTCATGCCTCTAATCCCAGCACTTTGGGAGGCTGAGACATGTGAATCACCTGAGGTAAGGAGTTCAAGACTAGCCTGGCCAACAAGGTGAAAACCCATATCTACTAAAAATAGAATAATCAGGTGGCCTTATTGGTGTGTGCCTGTAGGCCCAGCTACTCAGGAGGCTGAGACAGGAGAATCACTTGAACCCAGGAGGCAGAGGTTGCAGTAAGCTGAGATCACGCCATTGTACTCCAGCCTGAGCAACAGAGTGAGACTCCATCTCAAAAAAATAAAAAAGAAATAAATACATATAGAAGAGCAAAAAGTCAAGGATAGTTAAAAGAGTCTGGAAAAAAAATAATATGGAAGAGCCACCCTAACAGAGATAGTAATTATTACAAAGCTGTAAGAGTTAACACACCATATAGTAATGATGCAGGACTAGATGAAACAAAACTGTATTTTGCACAAAGTCACTTACATCTAGGGCTCTGGACATAAGTTAGGATAGTCTAATTAGATGAACCTGCATAAGATTTAGAAAGCAGATTTGAGGTAGAAGTATCTTCCTAAGTTCCTGATAGGAAGTTGGCAGAAAAATATCAAAGGCAGCCATCTCTGCATGTCTAGTCACCAGCTTTGTGGTTCTGAGGGACTTGTGGCAGTAGCAGAAGCAGCAGAAGCAACTTTCTGAACTCTGGATTACAGCTATGGTGGTATGACCTGAGAACCCATAATCCAGAGAAAGCCCCTTCCCTGAACTCCCTTTCCTGCTGGTCTTCTGTTGATTTTGAAGAACTAAACTCTTTTTTGCAGTGGAGGGGAAGGGGAACACGGCCTCGCTCTGTGACCCAGGCTGCAGTGCAGTGACAAAATCATAGCTCACTGCAGCCTTAAACTCCTGAGATCAAGCTATCCCCCTGCCTCAGCCTCTCAAGCAGCTGGGACTACAAGCACGTGCCACCATATCCTGCTAATTTTTAAATTTTTTTGTAGAGTGACGGTCTTACAACATTGCCCAAGCTTTAACTCTTGTATTCAATCTTTTTCTGATTGAAATACCTAGAGTGTTATTCCTGAACCACATCATGACAGGCAGAACTCTTAAGGGTTCCATAAAGCAGAGTCTAGTCTAAAATAAAAAGAAAATGAGTATGAATACTTGAAAAAATTTTTTCACTATAATGTTCAAATTATTCATTTCCTTTTTTTTTTTTAAGACGGGGTTTCACCATGTTGGTCAGGCTGGTCTTGAACTCCTGACCTCAGGTGATCCGCCTGCCTTGGCCTCCAAAGTGCCTGGATTACAGGCCTGAGCCACCAGGCCCAGCCCTTACTCATTTCCTAAAACCTTAAACGAAATTAATGAAAAAACTAATGCCTTAAAAAAAATCACGGGCGGCGGTGGCGCGTGCCTATAGTCCCAGATACTCGGGAGGCTGAGGTGGGAGATGGCTTGAGCACAGGAGTTCTGGGCTGTAGTGTGCTATGCCGATCGGGTGTCCACACTAAGTTCAGCATCAATATGGTAACCTCCCAGGAGTGGGGGACCATCAGGTTGCCTAAGGAGGGGTGAACCGGCCCAGGTCAGAAATGGAGCAGGTCAAAAGTCCCGTGCTGATGAGTAGTGGGATCGCGCCTGTGAAGAGCCACTGCACTCCAGCCTGGGCAACAAAAGTGAGACCCTGTCTCTAAAAAATAAAAAATAAAAAAATCAACTCTAGATAGTTTAAGGAAAAAAAAAAGGGGGGTGGACTTCTAAAGAAAAAAATAAAAATAAGGTAACAACCAGACAATATCTGATACGGTTTGGCTCTGGTCCCCACCCAAATCTCTTGTTGATTTGTAATTCCCATTGTCAGAGGAGGGGCCTCGTGGTAGGTGAATGAATCACTGCTGTTCCTGTGATAGTGTTCTCACGAAATTTGGTTGTTTGAAAGTGTGTAGCACCTCCCCCTTCACCCTCTCTCTCCTGCTCCAGCCAGGTAGGATGTGCCAGCTTCCCCTTCACCTTCCTCCATGATTGTAAGTTTCCTGAGGCCTCCCTAGCCATGCTTCCTGTACAGCCTGTGGAACCATGCAAACCTCCGTTCTTTATAAATTACCTAGTCTCACTCAGGTAGTTCTTTTATAGCAATGTAAGAAAGGACTAATACAATAAACCTACCAAATATATATCACATGGCCTTTACCAAACCATTTTTTTTTAAATACTGAATCTTTTTGAGTAAGCCTATTTAGTAAAAGTCAATGGTGGCATACTAGATGTTGGAATAAAAAACTTCCTTATAAAGAAAAAAAGAGTCGTCATTCAAGTTTTAACAAAGTACAACGTAGGGAAATAAACCAAACTCGGAAAAAAAAAAAAAAAAATGAAGAAAAGGAAGGAAGGAGGGAGGGATTGGGGGGGAGGAGAGAGATGGGGAGGAAAGAAAGAAAGGGAGTGGAGTTGTATCCTATTAATCTAGATTAAAAAACCCAAGAAATCTGCAAGTGCTCTCTGAATATACCATCTAAGGAGAACACTTTAAATGGGCTGTTGACAACAACCTTAGTTTCATCAGCTGCTGAGAGGTTGGGGGAAGGAGTATAAATCATTTCTAAACAGTAAATTACCTTGAAAGATCCTGGTTCTGGTGAGAGCACCTCCAAAGAAGCATTTGAACTTCTGCTCCCGGGGCGTGTTCTTGAACTTGAGGCTGGTTTTGAAATTCCATCTAGGTTGCCCTTTATAATATCCATTGAAATCCTGCATCAACAAATAAAAAATTTAATACCAAGTGACTTGGATATTTAAAATTTTCATTAGTTGGTGTTAATATCCAATTACTCAGAGGCTTTGTTTTAAAGATTATGTTGCTATTGAAGTCACACTTAAGAGTTCCCCAGTTTCACCAAAAGACATCTTGTGTACATGGATTATTAAACCTTATGCCATAGTATACAGAAAATATATTGCCCAGAATGTTAGATACTGAGTATGGCTAAAAGAGAATGCAGAAGCAAATGCCATCTTGGTTGCTTCCTGTGCCTCTAGGAAAAACACTTACTGTGCCCTTGGTCTTCCCTGAGGGAACACTCAGGGACACCCCTGTCTCTCAAGCAAGATGCACTTCATCTTAATGGTTTCCTAAGGCCCTCCTGCTACCTTCTTTCTTTTCTTTTCTTTTTTTTTTTTTTGAAACGGAGTCTCACTCTGTCACCCAGGCTGGGGTGCAGTGGCACGATCTCGGCTCACTGCAACCTCTGCCTTCCAGGTTCAAGCGATTTTCCCTGACTCAGCCTCCCAAGCAGCTAGCTAGGATTACAGGCACCCACCATCACACTGGCTAATTTTTTTTTTTTTTTTTTTGGGAGTAGAGACAAGGTTTCGCCATGTTAGCCAGGTTGGTATCATACTCCTGACCTCAGGTGATCCACCTACCTCAGCCTCCAAAAGTCCCCCTGCTACTTTCTTTTGGTTTTGCCTTCTTTTTTCTAGCCTTGCCCACCCTAGTTACTCCTTCTTCCCCCTCAGCTCTAATTTATTCTGTCTCCTTGGTGCTGCATTTTCATGGAGTACCTATCTCCAGGTCACTGCTCTCATTTTATCAACCCTCCCCTTCAAAAACCCGTAATTCTATTTTTGTCCTCTGAGGCAAGAGAACAAAACCAACTTCCTTTATTAGAGGACAGATTCTCACCTGGCTCCACATTACCAATCTATTTAACTATTTCTCATGTGATCCTATCTGCAGGCCTCTCACCACCCTGGCAGGGTAGCATAAGCTAAAGATTCACAGTGGGTGACACAGGCACACTGATCCTTCCAAACTGTGTGGCTGACCAACACCATTCCAGATCTGTCCCATGACATTGGGGCAACAAGCATGCTGAGTCAAATGGAAGAAAGAGGGATAATTCTAGCTTTTGCCCTCTCATACTCAGCTTTACGTGTCAATGGGTATCTTCCGACAAATCCTTTCCTAAATTCCTCTCAGTTATACATTCAACCTTTTCTCATGTTAACAATATGAAAAAGACAATTTCCTCTACCTGACAATGTCCTTTACTTATCCTACAAAATGGCTCATCTTTCTTTTACTTTTGAACAGCAGAGGCAGAGTCCAGAGAAGCTATGGACATAGGAGAAAGCACAAATATAAACAACCTGAGGCTTCACCTAGGTACACAGAGCGATGTTACGGCTTGGCTTCCAACCATTCAATTTGCCAAAGCTTATGTTTTAGAAGACCAGGAGGTCAGCTCTTCCCATCTCAGCAAATGAAAAAAGGCATTGATGTCAACCTTATTCAAACTCCGCAAAAGAGTTTGCGCTCACTTAGGAAAGCACTGACATTACTGTGGGATGATGGATCACCCTGGCCCCTCACATCACAACGAAAAAGCGTAAGTCACCAAAAGGCCAAATGTCTTGTAAATGCCTGAAACAGCCTGTCAAGGGAGACTTATTGCAGATTACAGAGGGAGCAATGAGACGGAAGCATGCGCAGAGCCGCATAATACATGTCAATAAAGGCAGAGGCACAGGGAACCGGCAATGACCTGGATCAGCTAAAGGGCTCCACAAATCTTTCACTCTGCCTTAGAAATAGGTCTGTTCTATTAGGTTCACTCCTAAAAATAATAAACTAAATAAAATCCAGTTCCTGAGGTAGGTGGGATGCAATAAGAGACTATCTTATGAATTTGGCCATCTAGAAAAAGGTATGGATAAAGGGTATTAAAATTGGATCTTATAGATGGATTTAAGCATTTGGGAAGAAACTGCAACTGCCACATAGAAATTCTACAAGAAAAACAAAGCAATGTACAAGAAAAAAAGCAATCAAACAATATATAAATAATTACATAAGCACTGAATGTTGATTTAACCAAATATTATGCCTTAATTATACTGAGTGTACATGAGAGGAGGAATGCACAAAAGGAAGGGATAGTATCAGAAATCTAATCTGTTATAATAGGAAATCAAAGAACTGTCCAGAAATTGATAAAGCCAAACGATAAACGTAATACTTTTATGAGAGTGAAAACTAATTGTATAAGTAATAAATAAAAATATGAAATCTCCAAGGGACTGAAAAGAACATAATGACAAATTTATAAACATAAACATAAAAATAAATTTCATAATTATGGAATTAGTAACTTAGTAAGCATGATACTAAGCATAAATCAAAAAGGAAAAGACTAACAGATGTGGCTACATAACAGTTAATCTTCTTGAGTCTCAAACATGAAAAAGAACTTTAAGTGAAATTAAAAGGATCTGAGAAATTGGGGAAAATAAATGCAACATAGGTGATATACAAAAGGTTAATTTATTTACATATTTATAGAGCTCTTACCAATCAGTAAGGAAAAAAACCATTCTAATAGAAAACTGGGTAAAGATATAAAAAAGAAATGCACATATCAGAAAAAAAAAAAAAAAACAGAAAGACATACAAATTGTCGATAATCCAGCTTTAAAAAGTCCAATTTTTCTAATTCAAGAAATATACACAAAGGGACCTGAAAGATGATGACACATCAAGGAAGCAAGAGTAGTGGGTTCTGGATTGGTGGGTTCCTGGATGTTCCCACCCGCTTGCTTACCCGTATTTTCTGTTTTTCTATTAAGTATATCTTGTATTCATAACTAAAGAATTCATTTATTATAGAAGGAGCTCTAGAATTTACTAAAAAGTATTTGAAAAAAAATGAAAATCACCCAACATCCCATCACCCTGAGCTGTTAGTACATTTCTTTACCATTTTTGTTCTACATATTTTTCAATAAAATTGGACTCACGTATTTCTCACCACTACATAATGAGCATTTTCTTATGACATTAAAACACTTCAAAATTGAATATTTACATCATGATACTTGATTAAATAGATAGATTAGATATATGACCAGATCCTAAATTGTAACAAATGACAACTATTTATAATATTTATTTCAAACAAGATTATTTAAACTTTTTCATACAGGCTTGTGGGAAATGAAATCATCAAAGATGATTTAAAGCCAAAATGGGGACATATGGCTGCTATAATTTGGTATTTTCAGACTAACAAAATAAAAGAAAGTGAATCCTTCTCTGTTTAGTAATTATGAGTAACAAGCCTTTAAAGAGTGGGGCTAATTCCATGATTTTTATATCTAAAAATTATTTATGTATGGTCAATTTTTTACTTTACATATTTATGTATTATGTAAGGAACACTTGCCCATGCAGAAAAAAATCAAATAATACAGGTGAATATAAAAGTGTTTTAAGTCAAAATTGTGCATACCCCAAGAATTAGTGTTAATTGCAGGTCTCTTTTTGTTTTGTTTTGTTTTGTTTTGTTTTTTGAGACGGAGTTTCGCTCTTGTTACCCAGGCTGGAGTGCAATGGTGCGATCTCGACTCACCGCAACCTCCGCCTCCTGGGTTCAGGCAATTCTCCTGCCTCAGCTTCCTGAGTAGCTGGGATTACAGGCACGCGCCACCATGCCCAGCTAATTTTTTTATTTTTAGTAGAGACGGGGTTTCACCATGTTGACCAGGATGGTCTCGATCTCTTGACCTCGTGATCCATCCGCCTCAGCCTCCCAAAGTGCTGGGATTACAGGCTTGAGCCACCGCGCCCGGCATGCAGGTCTCATTTTTTTAGGCATATGCAAACCTTCTATTCTTTATACCCATCAACTCCTCCCCAATGCAAACACATACACAAATGGCATGGTGCTTTGCAACTTGCTTTTTCACAGTTAACAATCTATTTTATATATTTGTCTATATCACCATTTGTAGATATACTTCATGCTCTCAGTCAACAGCATAATATCCCATAGATGTAGCAATTTTTAAATCAGCTCACTTAGGTTGCATATAGAATATCTAACATTAAAATCAATTTTAAAACTTTCTCAAAACGTATCACAGACCTAAAGTAAACCTTAAAACTATAAAATTTCCTTTTTTTTTTTTTTTTTTTTTTTTTTGAGACGGAGTTTTTGCTCTTGTTACCCAGGCTGGAGTGCAATGGTGCGATCTCGGCTCACCGCAACCTCCGCCTCCTGGGTTCAGGCAATTCTCCAGCCTCAGCCTCCTGAGTAGCTGGGATTACAGGCACACGCCACCATGCCCAGCTAATGTTTTGTATTTTTAGTAAAGACGGGGTTTCACCATGTTGACCAGGATGGTCTCAATCTCCTGACCTCGTGATCCACCCACCTCGGCCTCCCAAAGTGCTGGGATTACAGGCTTGAGCCACTGCGCCCGGCCAAAATTTCCTTTTTCGTCATTGTTTTTACTGTATTTGTAGTAGACAGGGTTTCATCATGTTGGTCAGGCTGGTCTTGAACTGCTGACCTCTAGTGATCTGCTTGCCTCCGCCTCTCACAGTGCAGAAATTACAGTGGTGAGCAACTGTGCCGGGCCAAAACTGTAAAATTTCTAAAAAATACATGTGACTGTGCCAGGCACGGTGGCTTATGCCTCTAATCCCAGCACTCTGGGAGGCAGAGGTGGGCGGATCACAAGGTCAGGAGATCAAGACCATCCTGGCTAACACAGTGAAACCCCATCTCTACTAAAAATACAAAAAATTAGCCCGGTGTGGTAGTGCGCACCTGTAGTCCCAGGTACTCAGGAGGCTGAGACAGGAGAATTGCATGAACCTGGGAGGTGGAGATTGCAGTGAGCTGAGATCAAGCCACTGCACTCCAGCCTGAGTAACAGAGCAAGACTCATCTCAAAAAAAAAAAAACTGTGACTGTGGGGGTTAGGCAAAAATGTCTTAGATACAACATCAAAAGCATGATTCATAAAAGAACATACTGATAAATTGGAAGGCATCAAAATTTAAAACTTGCACTCCTCAAACAATATTAAGACAAGGAAAACAAAATCCAAAGATTGGAAGCAAATATTTGAAAAACACCTATCTGACAAAGGACTCATATCCAGAATATATAAAGAAGTATTAAGACTCAATAACAAGAAAACAAAATATTTAGACACACATATCACCCAAGATGATGTATGAATGGCAAAAAAGCACATGAAAAGATGTTCAACATCATTACTCCTCAAAAAAAATAAAAACCACAATGAGATACCACTAAGCACCTATTCAAATGACAAAAGTTATTTTTTTGAAAAACTGACAATACCAAGTGCTGACAAAGTTGGAGAGCAACTGTAACATTCCTATTGCCAGTGACAATGCAAAATCTTCACTTTTCAAAACAGCTTGGCAGTTTCTTATAAAATTAAACATACACTTACCATATGACTCCACAATCTCATTCATAAATATTTATATATATATCAAATGAAATTTCATAGAAATTTACATATCTATGAAATGAAAACATAGTCAAACACACACACAAAGAAAACCTGTACATGAATATTTATAGTAGCTTCATTAATAATAGCCAAAAACTGGAAAGAACCCATCCGAAGGTGCCTCAAGTAGGGAATGGATAAATATACCACGGTACATCCATACAATGGACTATTACTCAGCCATATAAAGGAACAAACAACTGATACACAGAACACGAATGAGTAGCAACTGCATGATGCTAAGCTGAAAGAAGCCCAATTCAAAAGGACACATGGTATTTTCTTCCATTAATATGACATTCTGGAATAGGCAAAATTACAAGAACAAAAAACTAAGAAGTTCTTGTAAGGGATGGGGTTGGGGAGGGGTTAACTACCTAGCACTAGGGGATTTGGGGGGCATGATGAAACGTCGGTATTCTGATTGTGGTGGTTGGTAATTACATAACTGCATGCATTTGTCAAATTCACAGAACTGTAGATTAAATGGGTGAGGCTTACCATAAGTAACTTATACCTCAATTTTAAATTAATATCTTTGTGCCAATCTTTCTTTAGTTATCCTCATACATCCATAAAATAAGAATTGCTGAGTCAAAGAACACCTGTGTTTCAAATTTTGGTAGTTCGCCAAACTGTACTCTAAAAAGCCTGTACAAAATTACACTGCTACCGCCACACTGGCCTGGGGCCCGTCTGGTTACGTCAAAGCTGTTTTATCTTTTCCAGTCTGTTAGGTGTAAAAAGTATCTCCGAATTTGGTTTACACTTCTTCACGAGAAAAGCTGAGTCTCTAGTGAAATGTTTACTGTTTACATCTTTTTATTTTTCCTGTGAAATGCCTGTCTGCATCTTTTGCCGTTTATGGTCTAGTTTAAATGGCTGGTGATCAGTTCTAGAACTCTGTGGGAAGATCTAGATCTTGGGAAAGTGGGAGCCTTGGTTACAGGTCCTGATGTCAGGAGATTCCCGGAGAAGCAGCCTCTACGGAGGCAGAAGCCCTGGGCCCCGCCCCCACTGAGCCCGCCCCCGTCCTCTCATTGGCCCTGTCCGCTCCCCCCGACACGCCATCTACGGGCCGAGCCGCCCAACGCAACTCCACCCCGCCTACTCCTCGCCGCGCCGCACCGCGGCCGCGCTCCGCCCTCACCTGCGCTGGCCCTCACCTTCCCGGAGTGCCTCCTCGAGGAACTTGCCACCGGCAGTCAGGCTGCAGAGTGCCGCGGAAGGGCGCCGCCGACACTCACCGCGCCAGCCACTTTCCCCGAGAGGAGAGTGGTCTGCCCCGCCACCGCAGCCTCTCTGGTGGTGGAAGAAGCCGCAGGTCCAAAGCCCTGGTGCCGCCGGGACCGCTGTTTCCCTGGCAACCAGATGCGCGGCGCTTCCTGTCTCGCGATAGGGGAAAGGGCTGTACCATCCGGAAATGGGACGGGGGCCGGCGGCTGCTGAAGCCACGCGACCTGGGACTGCCCGGCTGTGTCCTTCCGTCTTCGCGGCGGACGGTGGGGGTAGACAGCTGTTTATTCGTCTTTAGGTTGGATTCGGAACCGGGACGTCTGGATGCTTGTGTACTTCTGTCCCTGACATTGCTGTGATTCCCCTACAGGCCAACTATCCTCTCCGAGCTCAGTTTCCGCCTCTGTAAAATGGGAACAATAACAATTCCCTTCTCACAAGATTTATGCAACTCAAAAAGACCATGTATGTGAAGCTCTAGGTAAATTTGGTGTGCTATGGAAACTTTAAAAATATTAGTTTTGCATAGATTCGGCTACAGTCCAAGAACAGCTATAATTGCTGTTTGCACCTTCTTTTATTTTAGTTCCTCTAATTTCTCTGCACGAAAATTGTTTCTCTATATCCACAAACTGATTTTCCACCCCTCCAGTGCCTTCAGATTTCTGCTGCTTTCCAGCCGAAACAGTATGTTACTGTTTACAGGGCATTTTCACATTTATGGCCCCTTTGTCCTCATTGTTTTAAGTAGGTAAGATGTGTTTTTTCAGCGAAGCAAACAGTCATAGATTGAGTTGCTGAAAGAACACAACTGAAATCCAGGCGGTAAAAACCTCTGACTATAAATGCCCTCCCTATGCTCCTGAATCCTGCATCTTGTGTGTGTGTGTGTGTGTGTGTGTGTGTTTTGTTTTTTGTTTTTTTCTTGAGATGAAATCTCACTCTGTCGCCCAGGCTGGAGTGCAGTGATGAAATCTCAGCTCACTGCAACCTCTACCTCCCGGGTTCAAGCGATTCTCCTTCCTCAGCCTCCCTAGTAGCTGGGATTACAGGTGCACGCCACTATGCCTGGCTAATTTTTTTATTATTATTTTTAGTAGAGACAGGGTTTCACCATGTTGTCCAGGCTGATCTGGAACCCCTGACCTGGGGTTCCTGACCAGAACTCCGCCCGCCTCAGCCCCCCAAAGTGCTGGGATTACAAGCTTGAGCCAACGCGGGCCAAATCCTGCGTCTTATCACCAGCCCAGACTTCCCTGAACTCCAGACTCCTTTACCTAACTGCCTATTTGACGCCTCCACTTAGATATGTATGCATCTCAAACTTAACACTGAAAAAAAAGACTTATCCAGAATCCCCCACCCACTCTCTATTCATCTCAACAAATGGTAATTTCATCCTGCCATGTCTAGACCAGAAACCTTGGAGTCGTCCTCAATTCGTCTTCCTCTCACACTCTACAATCAGTTTGTTCTAAGTCCTGTCAGTTCAGCATTCACAATATATCTAGAATCCAAATACTCATCATGCCTTCAGTGCTTCCATTCAGGTCCATACTGACATCATCTCTCAATGATAAGGCTTTCTGTTTTCTCTCTGACCTCCATTCCTAGCTACTGCTTCCCCATGGTAAACTTGGTTCCAGCCTCACTGTCCTCATTGTTAGTACTTCCATGTGAGGATGTCTTCCCAGCTTTTCTCGGGGAATTTATATGATTTTCCAAATCTCAAAAGGTAAAAAGTTGCAAAATGAAGAAAATAGGAGAAAGTATCCTAATTCTCCTATAAGAATTAAAACTTAGCAGCCAACCTAGAGATGTTACTGAAGAAATTCACCAATGTCAAGTTGAAACCCATTGCAGCAAATGCTTAGAGGATGAGGTCAACATTTTCAGGAACCAGGACGGGAGCACCTGGGAGAGACATAGCCCCAATCTCATCAGTCAGTCTTGCTTGTAGTTGGTGCCATGTACGGGTATGTTCCTGGCGCTGTGTGCTGCCGGCAGTGAGGCATTTTTGCAAATAAATAGAAACAGGTTGATGTTCACTGTATACTTTATACAAATTCTATGAGCAGGTTCAAAAAAGTAATGAGTTTTGGATTCAGAATAAATCCTTAAATTGGAAGCTTCCAACCCCCCATTCTGGGTAGTACAGTTAACCCTGCTAGGAGATCTGTCTATTATTTGAATACTACCCAATAATGTTCTCTGTGTTTCCCAGTATTTAAATATTTGCTGTAAACTCCAGTTCTTGTAAACACGTCTAAATTTAATAGTTCTTGTTTTTTAAACAAAGCCTTCAGATACTCATAATGAGTAAAGAATATGAAAAAGGTAGGGAATATTTTATGAATAAGATTTTGAGAACAGCTGGCAATTCTGATTTCCTGTTTCTGCATCCCAAAGATCGGTGTCTGTCAGGAATTTGGAAACATTACTACTTGTTCTTCCTCCAGTCCAAATACACACACACACACACACACACACACACACACACCAGCCTGAAATACCGTTGCCCAGCTATCCATGTGGTTTGCTCTTTTCTTTCCTCAGGCGTCTGCTTCCTGAGGAGGGCCTTTCCCAAACATCCTATATAAAATAATTATCCTCATCTTCACACTCCCTAACCTCTGGCCCCTCAACCCTGGTTTATTTTTTTATGAGGAGAAGAGATGACATTATTTGGATTCTGATACTAAACAGCTAGGTCATCTTAGGTACACCATAAGCTTTTGTGGGCCACAGTTTCTACATTTGGAAAATGAAGTTGGACTAGTTTCACAGTTCTTAACTGCACTGCACATTAGAATCACCTGGGGAGATTTCATGAAATACTGAACCAGCAACGTACCTGAAATCAAATGAATCTAGGGCTTCTCAACTTTAATGTGCAGACAAATCACCGAGGGATCTTATTTAAAATGCTGATTCAATGCTGGACGCGGTGGCTCAAGCCTGTAATCCCAACACCTTGGGAGGCCAAGGCAGGTGGATCACGAGGTCAAGAGATCGAGACCATCCTGGTCAACATGGTGAAACCCCGTCTCTACTAAAAATACAAAAAATTAACTGGGCATGGTGGCAGGTGCCTGTAATCCCAGCTTCTCAGGAGGCTGAGGCAAGAGAATTGCCTGAACCCAGGAGGCGGAGGCTGTGGTGAGCCGAGATCGCGCCATTGCACTCCAGCCTGGGTAACAAGAGCGAAACTCCTTTTCAAAAAAAAAAAAGTTAAAATGCTGATTCACAAAAAAAAAAAAAAAAAAAATGCTGATTCAGTATCAGATGCGACCCGAGACTCTTAATAGGCTCCTAGATGATGCCAGTGCTCCCGGTGTACCAACCACTGCCTAGCAGCAAGACAAGGTCATTGTCAAGTGCCTGCACAATTCTCATACACCATAAATAAAGGCCATTCTTCCCAATTTTTAATTAGGTAATTAATAGTGTCCACTAAGAAAACAATACCTTCCCAATATCTTGGGGGAAAGGGCTGAACTAAGAAAAAACAGACCTATGATTAGTGCACATGATTACTGGTGTTTTCATTTTTTTAACTTTTGCTTTTAAAATACAGGCAACATAAGATGCATACAAAGCAAGTGAAAATAAAATTCAGATTCCATATAAACTTTATGTCTCTTCACTGTAACCTTTTCAGACTAAGTCCCCATTGACTATACTTTACATAAAACTGTTTATCTCATTTTGAATTGTTTTCTGTCTCTGTGTCACTCTCACTTTGCTTATTTTCCTCCTGATGCTTCCATTTTGTAAACCACAGAGAGGTGGTGTATGCGTTAAGGGCCAGCTTTAATAAATTGCATTTGTTGTGTATTTGTTTTTAATTTCCCCAAATACTTCTGTGTCACGTCTTGCAGGTGACACCCTCAAAGCAACATTCGGATATAAGTCCCAGAGCACCACATGTCTATACTGTGTTTTCTGCAGTTCCGTTTTCAAAAATCACAAACACATCCTGGAAAGTGTGCCTTTCAAAGTAATTCATAAAAATTTCTTCTAGAGTCAAGATATTTTAAGCTAAAATTTCCCTGGTCTCATTCCAAGTTGGTGACACATGGCAGTGGCAGTGTTGGTTTAGGAGTTAGCTTTTGTTTTCGTTTTCACTCTCTCCCTCCTCTTGACATCCTCCTTCTGAGTGGAGTCAGATTTGAATGAATGAAAGCAAGCAGGAGCATTGTTTGCCATCTGGGCACCAACTACCATTTCAGACTTCTTGTCCTGATTTCCCTTTTCTCACCATAACTTCAACCAAATGTAACAATATGGTAGGAGAGGGATCTCATTAAGCCTCGTATCATAGATTCTACACACTGGATTTTGTGTAGAATAGCCATTTCTATGGAGAGCAGGTAATAGTGTATGCCACCAGACAGTTCCCATCTCCTGTGACTCATGCTTAGTGTTACCAAAAAATTACATTTACAAAGTGTTTCAGATTTGCCTTCAAAGCATCATTTTACTTCATGCATAGCATTCTATGAATTGGCACTAGTATTACCTGAATTTAGAGTTGAGAAGCAGAACTCCTAAAGAGTAAATGAGCAAGGTCATTGGGGAACTAATTGGCACTGGGATTCCAACCTAGGTTCCAAAGCCTGCCCTCTTAACCTCCTCATGGGTCCGAATTCAAGAAGAGGAGATATTTATATCCACTAGATGGTGCTAATTGTCCTCTGTTAAAAAAAAAAAAAAAAAAAATTTGCCAGCCACTCTCAGAAACAAATTTCTTTGGATTTTAGGTGTAATTCAAGAAACCACTGAACTGAAGTATTTTGCATGTTTACACTGTGTTGTAAACATCTTTAAATGGCCACCCAAATAGGAAAAGTGAAAATTAGATCTCCAAAAAACAGAATCCATATTTTTAAGTGTTAATACACATAAATAGTATCAAACAACTATGGTGACTTTGAGACACTGAAAGTTCTCACATATCTGTATTTACATTAAATCAGTAAACTTAAAAAGAAATACATGTTTTATTCCATTTACCCCTTTATACTAACTGTACTCCCTCCAGCTCCTCCTAATCCTTCTTGGCCACAGTGCCAACCATGTAGGCAAGGGTTATGAACAGTGAAGTAAATAAAGCCTGAAAAACAACAATCAGGTTCTAGA